CCCCAAACGCGAGCCTCAACACTCCGGGATCGGCCTGCGCGCTGAGAACGCCGGAGGCAAGCCGCTCACGTGCGCTTCTTCGGTCCATGGCTATGAACTTAAATTAGAGACCCTTTGGTGGACATCATTTAGGTGGGGATGTGTGTCCGCGAACCACTTTTGAGGTTCCCGATTAAAATTCCACATTGACCCCTGAATCAACGGAAAGCGACAATCTCGGTCACTGAGTATCTCTACCCGCTCCGCTCCACTCTGATCCACTCCACTCCACTTCACTCCACTCCCCTCCACTCCACCAACTCCAGCGACAAAGTCGGTTTCCGTCATCCCCAAGCAACCTGAAATGCCAGTCTCGCCAGTGCCAGTCAGGTCCTGCAACCGAGGAATCGGTGCAAGTCACGTCACGATGAGTCCCACCTGGCTTTGCAGCCTCTGTGCCACACTGAAGTCCCTGCATTGCACAAAATCATGGTGACTTGATGCAGACACCTTGCCACTACAGCCTTGTGATGTTCTTGACAGGAGCCTCCACTGCACCATCAAAAGGCTGTAGCAGTTGGACATGCAAGTGGCAACATGCCTCTGATGTGAATTGTGTGCAAACGCGTTTATCGCAAAAGTTCGGTCTGGTATTGCGAAGCATCGCCAAAGTTGCATGCGCAGTTAAAGCCGGTCTCTGTGCTGCAAGCAAGCATGGCAGGCAAATGATGTCCGGTGTGTTGAGCCGGCACCTTGCAGAACGATTTGGCCATGGGTCAAAATCCAGTACCCCAGTGAACATCCCAATCCCCACTAAAAAAGCCTAAAATGGGTGGTGCACCTACCCCGACATGGTACCATTGGTTTTGACCCACAGCCATTTCGTGACGAATAGCTTTCAGATGCGAGGAGCAGTGTGGTGTTGTGTGTGTCTTGTCTGCTTCTGCGGAGCAAAGCTCCTCCGAGAAGGATTGCAGCTCAAAGCGCAGCAAGGGCACGAAGTCAAGCCGTTGCAGCTGCAGCCAGCAGAATGCAGCAAAGGCAAGAAGCATGGAGTCACAAAGAAAACAAATGGAAATCTAAAATGCCCCACACAGAACCAAAATGAAATGGCATATTTGCTTCATACGGTGTACAGGTGATATGTGCTGTTTCCACCAGCAAACCCAGCCGGTGTGAAAGATACGAATGACTTGCAACACAGCTCAGAGGCACGCCTTTCTTGCTTCTTTAATATTCCTGTCAAGTGTTGCGTTTGATCGCTGAAAGAAAGGGTAGCATGTTGACCACAACCTGCCTCACAAAAGTCCTTTGCGCTGCTATTTCTCTTTGCAGGAACCTCAAGGACGCCGCCAAAGCTCATTTTACGGGAACACACTATCTGTGACGGCATTGCTAAATGAGGCTCAGGCTTCAAGTAGGATGCCCTTGATGCTGCACTGCCTGTGCTGGAGAGCTTTTGGAGAAACATGTCAATTTTGATGATTTCGATTGCCAACGAGAAGTGTCTGTTCCGCAAGCATTTGCTGTGGTGGTGCTTCTCCCATTGCTCTCTGCTGGCTGTGGGTCAAAACCAAAGGTACCATTTTGGGGTAGATGCACCTATTTTAGTGGGGATTGGGATGTTCACAGGGGATTCTGGATTTTGAGCCATGGCCATATATAAACTTGGCAGGCTGCCATTCATCTCGCCCTGGGCAAGCAGGAAATCAAGTCTGAGAAGTGCATGCAGACGTCGCATTCTTTGGGAGTCCAGCGTCATGATGCATCCTCGAAGTAGCAAGCCTAGGCTTTGCTCAGGATGCCTGAAAGCCTTTTGCACATTGACAACAGAACAGTTCCTGTCTCCTGTCCTACTCTCTGCTCTTGTCCAAGATCCAGCATGGTGTGTTGTCTGAGGATGACGCTGTGAAGGCTCTGCAACGCATTCCCCAAAGGGCACTTGTGAAACCACTCGCTGGTGGTCGGCCTGGCCATGCATGCGGCCAGCAGAGCCTCACTGAGAGCAACACCTGCAGTGATGCAGTTATCGTCAATGAAGCCGCATGCTGATCATCCTGCCCGCAGACCACGTCTACCACAGTTTGGCCTAACACTTGAGTCACGACAAGCAGGCATTGCAGCATTGCGATTGCTTCATATTGTTTCCCTGCGTTGCCAGTCCTTGTGCTGCTCATCACTCCAAATTCCACAACCTTGCAATGCCTCCAGCTGGCAGTTGCTTGAGGCAGCCGCACGGTCCGCACTACACAATCCTGCTGAAACTTAGGGCATCAACTCGCTGGAAAGCTCCGTCACTTCCAGGCTCAACCTGAAACTGGCACAGAGTATCTCACAATTGGCCATGGGTCAAAATCCCGTACTTCCAGTGAACATCCCAATCCCCACTAAAATAGTCTAAAATGGGTGGTTGGTGCACCTACTCCAAAGTGGTACCATTGGTTTTGACCCACAGCCAATTCTATGGCTTGGCCGCGCCTTGTCATCGCTCCATAAGCTGTCCGTTGCTGGGTCTGTCTCGCCTAAGATTTGTGTGAGCCTGTGCAAGGAACTTGGCTGCGACCGTGGCTTTGCTTGTGTCCCAAATCTGGGCTCTGCTCTCAGCTCTGCTTGCGCCACGGGCTCTGCTGGCAGCACAGTTCTTCGCTCTGCTTGTGCAGCAGATCTTGGCTCTTTCTGTCGGTCTGGCTGTGGCACAGTTCTTGGTGGCACAACACGTGGCTCTGCCCTTGGTTCTGCTTGCGGCACAAATCTTGGCTCTGCCCTTGGTCCTGCTTGTGGCACAGATCTTGGCGATGCCCTTGGTCCTGCTTGCGGCACAGATCTTGGCTCTGCCCTTGGTTCTGCTTGCGGCACAAATCTTGGCTCTGCCCTTGGCTCTGCTTGCGGCACAAATCTTGCCTCTACCTTTGGCTCTGCTTGCGGCGCAGACCTTGGCTCTGCCCTTGGTTCTGCTTGCGGCACAGATCTTGGCTCTGCACTTGGTTCTGCTTGTGGCAAAGATCTTGGCGATGCCCTTGTTTCAGCCTGTGGCACCGATCTTGGCGATGCCGCTGGTTCAGCTTGTGGCAATGATCTTGGCGATCCCCTTGGTTCTGCTTGCGGCACAGATCTTGGCTCTACCCTTGGTTCTGCTTGTGGCAAAGATCTTGACGATGCCCTTGCTTCTTCTTGTGGCACAGATCTTGGCGATGCCGCTGGTGGCAAAGATGCTTCTGCTTGCGGAACAGATCTTGGCTCTGGTTCTGCTCTCGGCACATATCTTGGCGATGCCCTTGGTTCTGCTTGTGGCAAAGATCTTGGCGATCCCCTTGCTTCTGCTTCCGGCGATGCCCTTGGTTCTGCTTGCGGAACAGATCGTGTCTCTGCCCTTGGTTCTGCTTGTGGCAATCTTGGCGATGCCCTTGCTTCAGCTTGTGGCACCGATCTTGGCGATGCCGCTGGTTCAGCGTGTGGCAATGGTCTTGGCGATCCCCTTGGTTCTGCTTGCGGCGATGCCCTTGGTTCTGCTTGCGGCACAGATCGTGGCTCTGCCCTTGGTTCTGCTTGTGGCAAAGATCTTGGCGATTCCCTTGCTTCTGCTTGCGGCGATGCCCTTGGTTCTGCTTGCGGCACAGATCTTGGCGATGCCCTTGGTTCTGCTTGTGGCAAAGATCTTGGCGATCCCCTTGCTTCTGCTTGCGGCGATGCCCTTGGTTCTGCTTGCGGCACAGATCGTGGCTCTGCCCTTGGTTCTGCTTGTGGCAATCTTGGCGATGCCCTTGCTTCTGCTTGCGGCGATGCCCTTGCTTCTGCTTGCGGCGATGCCCTTGGTTCTGCTTGCGGCACAGATCGTGGCTCTGCCCTTGGTTCTGCTTGTGGCAATCTTGGCGATGCCCTTGCTTCTGCTTGCGGCGATGCCCTTGCTTCTGCTTGCGGCGATGCCCTTGGTTCTGCTTGCGGCACAGATCGTGGCTCTGCCCTTGGTTCTGCTTGTGGCAATCTTGGCGATGCCCTTGCTTCTGCTTGCGGCGATGCCCTTGCTTCTGCTTGTGGCACAATTCTTGGCTCTGCCTTTGGCTCTGCTTGCGGCGCAGATCTTGCCTCTGCCCTTGGTCCTGCTTGCGGCACAGATCTTGGCTCTGCCCTTGGTTCTGATTCTGGTACAACTCTTGTCTCCTCCCATGCTGCCGGAATGGCTAGTTGGATTCTTTCACCCGGAACAAAGTCCAACTGCCCCACATCCCTTGAAGCTGTCACACTTCCCCAAGCTGTGCTTGGATGCAATATGGTCTGGGCAAGACTGCGGAATGTGTGGGTCTGCTCTGGCTGCCATGGGTCCTGCTCCATCGCGGGAGAAGTGGGTTGGTTCTGGGCGCGCGCGGAGAGCTTCGCAGCCACATCTGCAAGACTCGGAGCAACCAGCGCCAAGGAATCGTCTTCAGGCAGACCAAACCCGCGGCTCGGGGAAGGCGGACCACGCGGTGGCACTGCTGACTCAAGACGTTCCTGAAACTGCTGCTGGAGCTCTTGGAAACGCCTTTGGAGCTTGATAAACTCCTCCTCCTGCTCAGCTTCCCATTGGCGCTTTCTTCTATTTTGTTCTTGCTGCCAGTGATCTTCCAAGTCCTGCTGCTGCTTTTCCAAGAACCACTGTTGTTGCTTCTCCCACTGATGTCTCTTCTGCACTTCCACTTCAAGTTGCTCTTGCAGCTCGGTTTGCTCTCTTGCCAATCTCTGCGTAAGCTCTTCTTGCTGCTCATTAGACCTGGTCCTCTCCATATCTAGCTCTTGCCACTGCTTTGCCAGTTCTTCATGTGCTTTCTCGAGCTTCTCCACAATATGCAGTTGCTGTACTTCGAAATCCTCGCCCTTCTGCATCAGCTCATCTCGCAAGACATCTTCCAGCCTGATGACATCATGTGGCAAGCTGCCATCGAACGCTCCTGGTGCCAGTCCCAGCTGGTCTGCTGGTCTCCCTTCCATCTGTCCAACAGCCCTTTGCGGGTTTGGAGGCATCTCATGCGCTCTGCCAGGCTCACTGGGCAGATTGTCTAGCCTGCAAGCACTGAGATGAAGAACTACACGACTGTCAATGCGCTAGGCCCATGGCGTTGCAACCTGTGCAAAAGCAAGGTTTGAATGATGACTTGACACGCAAGAGGCGGGCCTGACGTTTGGGACTGTCGCCTGACATCGCTGCGCGTCCATGTTATCTACTTGACACAGAGTCACAACCTGGCGTCAAACGAGCCCAAGTGAAAAGTTCAACTGGCCACACCTTCTTGGAGAGTCTACTAGGCTTCCCAGGTTTTGCTCAGCAGATTTTGGCTGTTCTGAGCTGATGGCTAGCAGCGGGCAGCCTTGGAGTTGTCGCTTGGCTGTGAGATTCAGACATGGATGCTTTGACGAGCATCAAAGAGAACGAGGGAAATTGAACAGTCCAATAAAACTTGTACTGGCGGATCCTTGCCGCGTCGGCTGGGTGCTCAGGTCAGTCAGCAGAAAAACATATAGAGTGATCTGCCGTTGTCCTTGATAGCAGATGGCAAAGCAAAATCCGCCGAGGCGCTTGCACCTGAGGCGATTAGATAAGTGGAGCGAAGCGACCGAAAGGTAACTATACGAACTAGTACCAGAGTTGTTGAGTGTAGAATGCATCTATTTATTTGCTGCTGTTTCTCGCGGTGCAAGAGGGTGCTATTTACCCCTCGACCTTGTGGCGCGGGGTGCTGGTGGGTTTGCATGCGGGCCTGCTTTCTGCTTGTCGCGACTCTCGTAGGCAAGGCACAGCTCCATGGCTCAGTGGTAGCACACTTGGACTCGAAATCGCTAAAATAATTTCAATTGGAACAAGAGAATGAGAGTGAATTATGAATGGAGAAAAGGTGCATTTTGAATGCGCGATCTACTCTTGACTAAGAGGAAATCCGTTAATCTAATACAAATTGACTTTAGGAATGGATTATTCCTTCCCAAATGCCTTTATTAATAACTGTTGGGACGGGCGAAGAAAGAGGATAAGAGTCTGTGCGCTGTTGGCGCTTGAGATGCGTTTAATGCAAGATATCTCCTCCGGTCACGGCCGAACTGCGAGGTCTTCATGTGTGTCCCATCCCTCTGTCTCCGTTCACTCCCCAAGCATCTTCAGGAGACATCAGAGAGGAAATAGATGGATTGAGAGCTTGGGGAAGAGAGTGATCAAGAGAGGAGATGGGCGGAGATTGGAGAGTTGGCGATAGAAACCATCTCCTTTTAAGTCCTTAACTCTGAGTTCAACCGCCAGTCAAGGATCAGAGATGATTGGGGAGTGAGGGGACCTGGTCATCAGAGAGTTTCCCCAGCAGCTTCTCAAGGAATCTTCACCAATTGGCCGTGGATTCCAGGTCTTTACGTAATAGTGGTGTAACTCTGTGATATCTTCTAATCACCTCCACTCTCCTTGGCATTCTTTGACCGAGGAAAAGATCCCAACATGAAGAGTGAGGACGTGCGTACACCATTCCCTGCTGTCGTCTGCGGCTGAAGGTGGGCTACGAGAGGCTTGATTCTCTTTCCTCAGCATATGGCTTGCATGCGGTTGGGAAAGCATGGAAAAGCTATGACATGCGAAGGAAAAAGATGGGAAATGAGGGATGCTCTCAAAGCCAGCCAATCATATCCTTTCCTTTCCCCAGCTCCATTTCGGATTGGGAACTGGGTTCATCCCTTCCTTTCCTCTCGTTATCTCGCTTCCAATTGGAGGAAGGAAGATGGTGCAAGGAATAAATCCTGAATGTCACGGAGAGGAGTGCTATGAAGACCTAAAGAGAAGAATTCCTAATGGTGAGGGGCGGGTAAACCGCTCTTCAAGAAAGGAAGGGGGGGGTAGAATGAGAGCTTCCCCGGCCATCGTCCGCCAACCCATCCAATCATCAATACACGCTGGAAAGAGGTAAGACCCAACTTGAAGGACAGACCTGAGATGGACGAATGGATGGGTTGGGAGCTGCCCTTACTCACGTCATTCCCTCCCTCACAATGCTCCGTGTCACTGCTCCCAATTTGATGACTCTTGGCTTCCAGCACGCCAAACTCTTGGCCTGCTTGCCTGTCATCGCACGCCTCAACTTGAATCATGTGAACACACCAGGCTGCGAAACAATCTTTCCACATGGTGGGCCCTGCGTTTTCAGCGCGCTGCCCGCAAGTTGACGACGGGTAAAAAGGAGCCCTGACTTGAAGTTGCTGCCTCTTCTGCCTGCATGATTTCACTAGGGGTACCAAGAGCACGCATGTCCCGGGCCTGGCTCACACTCGTCCTGTTCAACCTTGCAAAAAGAAGCTTCCGACGCTAGGCAAAAGACAAACTAGCACTCGGCGCACCAAGTACTTCTCGAAATGCTGGCATCCGGGCCTTCACAAACTGACTACTGCCGCAAACTGACTTGGACACAAAACCACTCCGCAAAGAAACTTGACCCATTGACCGGTTGCTCTTCTGCTTGCAGGCCTCCTGGGTTTCCCTGCCAGGCAAAACCCAAGCACAGAAGTTCCAGCGTGGCACTCCAGCCTTGTCATCGCGCCGGGCTCCACAGTGCGAGCCTGGGATAGCCAGTGCCCAGCCAATGTACTGGTAACCAGGAACGAGACGGCTGAGCTCGCCACAAAAGGGATGAGTGAGGATGCTGTGGCAGCCACTGCAAACCTGCAGTTGTTTCTGGAAAGCCCGCCCGCAGCACTGCAAGCCAGGAAGCTGGCGCCTGCTCTGCACTTGCCAAAGCAGCGGCTGCTGCGGCAGCAGCAACCTGCCCGTCAGGAGAACGCCAATGATGGACGTACACACAAAACAAACGCCTCGGCCAACGCCTCCTCTGATACTTTGGCTCTCTGCACTGCAAGAAGCTCTGGCCTGGCACAAGCGATGAACATAACTGCATTCAGGCAACCCAGAGCTGCTGCCTTAGATTGGTGGCTTGGGATTTCAACCCTGGTTGGTAGAAAATTGCAAATGGGGCCCCAGCCCGCAACCACCAAGCCACCAATCTAAACCACCAATCCAAACCACCGAAGAACACGAAGCCGTGCGAGGTATCAGCTCAAGATGGTGCCGATCTGAGGCTCGAGCGCCAAGCCCAGATTCACAAGCGACGCCGGAGCGCTCTCTTGGCCGAGCAAGCCTCTGGGTAGGCCGCGCTGGGCTTCCCATGCCGATGACAGAACTGGGGCTTGGAAACTTCCGCTCCGGGGCTCCAGCTGCCATCGCGAAAAACAGGAGATGTGGCCTTGCAAGCGCTGTGCCAGCATGGTCTTCCAACTGCAAGGTAGGAGCCGCTCTGCGTCGATGGTAGAGACTTCAGGAACAAGAAGAGATGCACCAAGACTAACATCATCAAGACCTTGGCAATAGCTCCTACAGTGGTGTTGCATCAAAATCAGTGCGGCACTTTTTGGAGCGTCGTTGCCCGACTCCCTCACCGCTCTGACCGGTGATTCCATCGATAGTTCCATTGATGCTTGGCATGCCTGGCAAAGCCATGAGTCGCATGAAATGTGTTTTCCACGCAGGTGCTAGAAGCCAATTGTATTCGTTGGGTGTCACAGTGTCATCCAAACTCTTGCAAACCATCTGGTTGGTGTTTCGAACATATGTCAATCTGCGGCGAGGACTGCCTGCTCTTCTCTTGAAGGCCTTTGCCTCTGCAGGCTCTGGGTAGCTGCATCTTGCACAACAGAACAAGCAAGCTTGTTTTTGAGTCTGAACTGCCTCGGTGTTCTGTACAACACTTCATCCTGATCCACTCCTGCAGAAACGTAGACAAGTGTATGCTTTGCGATGGACCAAAAAAAAAGGACAGTCCTCGTCGAGATGATCCATGCTTTCGAGACAAAGAGGGCGGCCTTGTACTAGTCTCCAGACACTCTTTTCAGCCAAGGACATTGGAGGACCGGGCATGGATGGTAGCTGCATTGCCAGCATGCCGTCAAGACCTTGCGTCAGTTCGTCAAACGAGCAAAAACCGCCAAGGTGTCAAGGCCGCAGCTCTGCAACGTGGGGCACAGCAAGGAAATCCGGTGGTAATAGCCTCAAAGCTTTCAAGTCATTCCAGACTTGAGTCATGATGAAATGTATGATGTCAAAAGTGTCACCCAAAACCAAGCCAATGCAAATGTTGGCCGCCCACTTTTGGTTGGGACTGCCATCTACTAACCATCTGCCCAGCTTCTCATTGTAGCTAACATTCTCACAATCTCACAAGCATCCTCCCGCTCAAGGCTGCAGCGTTCCCTCACACCGAGAGTCACGGCATCGAGCGGCTGATCCTGTGACACAGCCCAAACCAGTAAGCACATCTGCTGATCAAAAATTCAACACACGATCGGCGCCGGGCCCTTGAGTCCGCTTCAATGTCTTGCAAGCTTCCATAGGCCTCCCATGTCCTGCCAGGGCTCTTAGAATAATGCTGAACGGAGAGCAAGAAGTCGCTCCATGTTGGTAGTCGCTCCCCACATGGGTAGAAGGCGGAACCTGAATCACGCAAACATCGTGGCGGCATACATCTACGGGTTAAGAAGCGTGCTAAGAGGGTTGTCGCGCAAGTCGAAATGCCTGAAGCGCCAGCGCCAACACACCACCCCATGTACCCACGTACCCCACTAAGGAGCGAAACAAGCTATTGCTACACAAGCTGCATGTCCGCAAACCAGGCTGGCTTTCTGGACCGCAGCCAGCAACAATGTGTCTGGGCACCGAGCTCTAAAGCCAATCCGCCCGCCATGTCCATCGTCTGCGCTACATCCTTGCAAACAAAAGATGATCCATCCAAAGGGGGGCTGCAGAGGATCTGTGAGAACTGCTACTGGATGTCCTCCACATCGCGGATTTCGTTGCCTCAGCTTTCCATGTGAAGGCAGCATCTAAAAAAGAAGAAGCCGCGTGCCATTCAGCAGCAGCACTCGCAAAGGGCGCAAGCTCCAGCAAAGGGCTGGCCTTGGTGGCAGAAAGAATGGCAAGGCATGAGTCGCGAATCAGTGGCAAGGACTGAACAGCGCATTGGCCCTC